AAAAGCATGATCATGTTTAATTCATAGATGCCATTTTATCTTCTGGACCAAGAACAGGAGTGGCCAATTCTTCCTGTCATAGAGAAAAGTAAAAAATGCCTCTTTATGTTACAACAGTAAAGGCCCAAGGTACTGGAAGTGTCCAAATTGCAAAGGAATTTGAGAAAAAAATGACAATCATGAGTTTTTGAAAAAAGAAACAGGTGTATTATAAAGCAGATTCCATTAACTTTATTCACACAATATATTCATGAATATGAATATATGAGAAATAGAATCAGTCCTGCTAATCACCTCATATGAAGAGACTATACATACATACATACATACATACATACATACATACATACATACATACATACATACATACATACATACATACATACATACATACATACATACATACATACATACATACATACATACATACATACATACATACATACATACATACATACATACATACATACATACATACATACATACATACATACATACATACATACATACATACATACATACATACATACATACATACATACATACATACATACATACATACATACATACATACATACATACATACAAGATCTGAATTAAAAATAAAATCTATGAGTGCTAAAGTAAAAGACACAATGCAATGTTTGGTAAAACAGTACTTGAGTGAACAACGTTAGGTGTGGAAGGTACTTCTTAGCTATTGCAAATAAGACAAAAATTCGGCCAGTCTCCAGAGCTGCTTGGTAGCATTTTTAACATGATTGTGGGCTTTTACTAGTATGATAAAGGGTTAACACAGAAAAGCATATATATTATGCTGTCATTAGTCCTCCTCACAGTAAGTTCGGAGTCTTAAGACTGTCTACTACAGGCTGAAGCATACCACTTTATTTATTTATTTGTGAGACATATCTGTCCTCCTTCCTCAGAAGTTCAAAGAGGCATATCTAGCACATCCTTCTCCATTTTTTCCTCAACATAAACAGTCCAATAGAAGGTTGGGGTAAGAGTGAAAGATTGGTCCAAAATCACCCAGTGAGTCTCCATGGCTGAGAATGGACTTGACCATATATTTCCCTGGAACCCATCCTATACCTTAACATATGAGGGGTCAGGCCAAAAGTGATTCAGCAGAGAAAGAAATGGAAATCTAATCCAGGATTCTGCTAGGGAAGCCATACCATCTACTGGGACTCAGGAAGTGTGCCTTCTCTGTGATGGTTCCTGCCCTCTGGAATGATATTCCCCCAAAGATCCGTTTGGCTCCCACTTTGATCAGCTTCTGGAAATCATTAAAAACTTGATTGTTCTCCTAGACCTTGGAGGAGGATGCTTGAGGAACCCTGTTGGCTATGTTTTCTACTACAGAGAGAACATCTGAATACATGGGATTTTCCTTTTTATTGTTTGCTACTTTTAGTTGAAGCCACCGAGAGTCATTTTGGAGTTAGGGAACCTCTATGCTTCATTAAATAGATAAATGAATAAATAACCAGAAGGATATTCTCAAATAGGACAATGTGGACATGATTCTGGAAGATGAGCTTCCCAGGCTGGAAGGTATCCTGAGCTACTGGGGAACAGCAGAAAGCAAATAGGAGTAGCTGCAGTGCATACGATGTGACAGTATTAAAGCCAGAAGGGTATCCAGCTGCTGTTGTGGCCAGAGACAAAAAGAACGTTCAGTGTGGCAAAGCTAAGTATGCCACTGATACATGAAATGTCAGAACTTGTTGTCACAGCAGAAATGGGATCAGGACTCAGATACAACTCAAAAATGACAGAATGATCTCAGTTTGAATCCAAGACCAGCCAATCAGTATTCCAGTAATACAGGTCTACGTTCCAACCACAGATGTAGAGGAAGCAGATGAATAATTCTATGACAACTTGCAGCACTTTGTCAACACAAAACCCAAAGCAAGACAAAATCAAACAAAACAACAATACTGCTTTTTCCCACTTTTGAGAGTTCATTGTTTTGGGTGGGGAGCACTGAATAATACACACTGCGTATTTGGAATTTTACGTGAGAACTGCGAGGTTTTCCAGGCTGATGAAGACTTAACATGTATGGTTTATGAAAACCGCAGGGCAAGTTTGTGCAATACTCACTGGCCTCTGGAATGCAATTTTGAGTCTTGCACAATGCAAAACATAGTGGGTCAAAAACACTGTTATGAACATGGTAAAAAATATGAGATGAAAACAACTGAGAAAATGTAGAAAATGGATATCTCTATGCAAAGGAAGATCTGATGTATTAAAAGGCAGTAGAAGACATGACTACCATCATTCTGTACACAAGTGTTAATAATAAACATATATGCACATATGTAATTTTTCTTTGGCACATGGGACAATCTGGCCAGCCCCTGTAATTATGCCTGTCTTTCTGCTTTGTTTATGGTACAATATGACCTGGATTGTGTAGAGGACAGGTTGTTGGTTACAAAAAGGAGAGGACCATAGCTCTGTGATAGCTCACCCAAGCTACATCTGGCTTGCTGGTCCCTGAGCTAGACGTACTGCTTCCCAGGATATTCTCTTACATTCCTTTAAACCTACCCCTACTCTTGGCCAGTGGATTGGCAATCGCCATCAGGGGAGTCTAATTGCTCTTTCTCCTGGACTTTTGCTTTTAAATATTTTTGAAAATCTTGAATTTTGTACAGCCTCTTTGGAGTAGACAGAGTCATTTTGACATTTTTGCACTGCCATACATATAATCCTTTGTTCAATTCTTGGCACCTCCAGTTGAAAAAAAAAAGATCAGATAATAAAGTATAGTAAATTAACCTAAATTGAGATACTGAACGTCATAACCTCTGATGGGATTCCTTCAAGTCCTGATGAAGGTCCAGTTCATTTATTTGTCCTTCCTGCCTAATTTTTTTGGGTTGTCTGATTCCAATCTCAAGATTCAGTCATCACCAGAAACTGAATGAACTGTATCCAAAAGAGAACTCAAACAGGGGAAATGGACAGATATTAGAGGACTAAAAGGCAGAATCAGAAAGTACCCACATATTATCAACCAATGACTTAACAACAGAAATTGTTCTATATTTCTCCCCCACCTTCTGATTCCCACCATAAATTCAACAATTTTACAAGTTGCAGTTTTCTAAATGGAGGAGATACAGACTAATGAAGTACACTTGAACAGCAGAAAGGATTAAAGTCTTCTGTCATTAAGTTATTCAACCACCTGCCATTTCCATCTACAACTGGGATTTCTGAGCAAAACTCTGGTCATTTCCGCACTTGTAACTAGAGTCATCCAACCAATGTTGTGTCAAAAGAACCATAATGAGGATAGGCTTTCAATCACTTCTACAATGACAAAATGATACACTGAAGACATTTTAAGTCACTAGGAAGTAATGGGTTCACTCTTCATATTAAGCCATAATGTGATTTGCTTGGTTTTGGCTTAGTACAATGTGCATGTGGCCAGCCATAGTGATTTATAGACCATGGTTTATGGCTGCACAATGCTGTGCAATCCCAGCCATTAGTGGTTTATTCAGTAAGGCATGGTTAGGCAAACCATGGGTGGTGGAATGTAAAATGCCCTCTGTATGCCTAGTGTATTGAGTCAGCAATATTGAAAACCCAGGTTAAAATATCTTCTTAATCACAGGTTTGTTTCTTGAACATTATACTTAACATTGCATGAAACCAGCTTCTAGATCTACAAATTCATTGAAAGGATAAAATGTTCTGAAAGCTTTAGATGTCATACAGTTAATAATAAAAGCTACCAGTATTTCCTTTAAATATAAGGGGAAAATCCTGATGGTAAGGTCTGTACAGTACTGGAACAATCTACTTACGGAGATTGTGGGTTCTTTATCTCTGGAGGCTTTCCAGAAGAGGCTGGATTGCAAAGAGTTGGGCTAAACCATGTGCCCTCTTTCAACTCTACAATTCTATGACTTTTTAAAGAGGAAGCTGTATTTAAACAAATATTTTTTCCTCTTTGCTGATTCATGGATGACAAAATGTAGGGCGTATGCTTCACCAACTAAACAGTGGATAATGGTCTACATTAAATTGCTTTTATCTGGTGGCATGGCTGGTTAAGTGACTCCATGTATTAATATGGAAAAGTCAGCTGTTCTGTTGCTAGTCATAGCATAGAATGGATAGCTAGATGGATCAGTGATCCAGCTGAATATAAAACAGCCTCATATGTGCCCTTCAGAGATTCTGTTGATCGGAGAAAGCAAAATCTTCGTCTGTGGTTGGTGAGAAAAGCACTATGTGGGAATATAAGGTGGCAGAGAAGAACAACGGTGGTATCAAATGGAGGCTCACCAAAGCAAAGGAGAAGCACCCCCATTACCAAGTTCATAGATAATAGCAATGACCAGAGATTGTTTTAGAGATTGCTGAACTTTATTCAGCCTATAATACCTCAAGTGAAGGAACACCTGTAAAATAAATACTTTAGCACAGTTCAGTATTAGTCAATATTTATATAGCAGCTGTGGAACGGTCAAACCTAGCAACTGTGAATAATAATTAAATATTGCTTGGTATCAAATGCTTTTCTTTCGGGTAAAATCATAGCTATAAAAAGGCCCAAAATCTAAAGGCAACACACTGGTCCAAAAGATAGAACTACTTAAAAAAAAACTACTTAAAGCTTAAAAATGCTGACAGTGTTTTCCCCCCCTTGAATTCCTTTGAACTCCTTCATCAACCTTTGTATTTCTGCCAGCCTTCAAAATGCCTCTTTCGTGGACTGTCAGGTGCTCAGTTTCAATGGAGAAAAAGTCACAGGGAGAGCACATTATTTAAACTGCACACATACACACACACACACCCAGTTCAAATGACAGGAATCATCCTCACTTGTTTCAACCAGATGGCTCCCCTGTCTCGCTGGTTGGTGATGGGTGGGTGTGTGGAAGCAATGGATAATGGGGGGAAGAGTGGTCTATGTGTTGATGTACTTGGGGAGAGGCTGAGCCTGTGTCTCTTTGCCTGTGCATATATATGTGTGTGTACATATATACATCACAAATTATGCCATCGAGTTTCTTGCATTTGGGGAAATCGCAGGAGTCAGCATTCTTGAAGTGCAATGGATGACCCTAACCCTGGGAAAACCACCTTCATGAGCATAGCATCTCCCCTCTCATCTTTGTACAAAAGTTAAATTTCACCAGTTCTTATATCTGTAAGTAATTTTATGTGACTGGAGGACCATTTAACCATGGAATTGTTCCTCTTTGCCTGCTGGGTAACTGGAGGATAATACCCAAGAATGTAATAATTGAAAACAAGTAAAGCGTCCTTCAAGTTAAACGCAATGCCTGGTGACTTCCCTGACAATGATCAAGTTTTCTTTGAAGTGTTGCAGAAGCGCTTTGGGTTTTTTGTTTTTGTTTCACTTCACAGTCTAGCCTACAACCCTAAGATTTTGTGGGGATTTCCCATCCAACAAGTAACTAAGTCTGATCCTGCTTAGCTGCCAAAGTCTGGATAATTTTGCTGATTTCATGGCAAGAGGCTGACATGTGGTTGGTCCTCTGGAAATTGTATTCCAGTGAAGATATTTAAAATCACTTTAAAACAAACTCTTAAAAGGGTAGTCTCCTTTGAGACAAGCTTGATTGCCTTTTTTGGGGTGGGGGCTCTTATTTTACTTCCCAATCTAAACTGTAGGCTTGTTGTCTCCCATCCAAGAACTCACCCAGTCAATCCCTGCTTAGCTTTGCAAGATCAGCCAAAGTCAGCTGCTGTCAGTTAGCTGGACCCCCTTAAATGTTCAATCCCATTGCAAATGGGGCAGTCAGGATTTGGGAACAGACCAGTGAACCTGAAGCCTGGCTCAAATGAACAGCAGCAGGATGGATGTACCTGTCATTCATTCTGTTGGGGCTTGTGCCTGATCACATTGTGATGGACTCTGTTCCACCAAACCCAGCCCACTCCAGAAGTGAAAACTTTCCTTAGCTTTTGAAATAAAAAGTTCCTACAAAATGAAAACAAATGCATTTTAGGAATGCCAAGGAAGCATTAATCAGTGCCGTTGAAGCTTATTTGATTGTTTCCTAATAACCGGAGGCAATGAATTGCAAAGGCAATGAAACACTATCAATTAGTTCAGCGTGTTCCTATAGCTCCAAACCAAATTTCTCCACCATCTATGTTCTATTTCTCAATCATATGAAAACAGAAGCAGAGAGAATATTAAGCAGAAAGGGGGGGGGGAGGTATCATTTTCTGAGTTGATCAATTAATTTCTTTATTAATTTAATGCAATATTCTCATTTTGGTCTTTGACCAGCATCAAATAAGAATATAGAGGTTATGAGATTAACAGATATAACTTAATACGAATTGAGGTCTAAACATTGTAAGGACAGTGATTGTAGAGTTAAAAGATGCAGAAATAAAAGCCAGACATGAAAACATTTGGAGCGGGCTTTCTAAAAAGCTACAAGAATAAACGGTGGCAACAAAAGCTGTGAAATTGGGTAATTGGAGATGAATCACAGCAAAAGAGAAATGAGCTGCGTGAGGCAGGTAGACTGAGGTATGGCAGTCCACACCCGGTAGACCTGCACCAAACATAGCAACCTTAGATGTTACGAGGGAGTTGGAGTCACAGACTAGTACAGAGATGTAAAACTGGTCTGTGCAGCCAGGTTAACTGGTGAATAGTGGGAAAATAAAGGTTGTGTGGATGACTCTGTAAAATGAGCAGGAGAGGACATGCTTGGTGGTGTAGATTTGCCCATCGTCACAGGAACAGAGATGTTCCTGGAAGGGGATGATCTTGGAGGAATAAAACAGCCAAGGGGACAGTGATGCAATGAGCAAGAATAGTTCTCTTTCTTTGGTTAGGGGCTTCTGGCTCCATAAGATGCATAGCAGGTGTAACTTTAGTGATCATCCATAGTTGCCATGTTTTATTAGAAACATGTGCCAACCATAGAATAGTTTTCCACTGAGGAGATACAGCGAATGTTGCCTTTGCAGGATGAAGCCTGGATTTTATTAATGATGTACCATGCTGGAAAAACAGGTTTTACAGTTTCAGAAGACTGGCTCCCACTCACCCACCCATATCAAGTTAACCGAGAAAAGGAACTTGCCTTTTCCTGTTCCACCGGGAGCTGTGCCAGGAGGCACAGAAAATATTCATCTGTTGAAAGGCATTTCCCTTGATTCCCCAAAGTCAGGCTGACTGGTTCAGGTTGACCTATATCAGCAGCAAACTCTATTTTTAACCTAAATCAGCAAAACTGGTTTCTGTTTACTTCCATGAAAACCGAATTACCTGAATTATGGGTTTTTTTAAAGTAAAAAAGGCTCAGGGTGGCATTTCTGGAGAATATTGGCTCACACATCTATTCAGTGTTGATTTGTTGAGTTTTTTCCTGCATCCAGTTCAATCCCTACTGATTTCAACAAAGAAAATGTTACAACTGGGGAGGGTGGGAAACACAGATTAGGGACCCAGAGATCCAGTTATTTCCATCTGGATATAGCTTCTTCTTCTTCTTAAATT